AAATATACAAAATTTTCTGAATACCTCTTTACAACTAACATCCTAGCCACTCAGCTTGAGCAGTATTCAGTAAATCCTGCTGGTTTTGCCATATTGTCATGCATCTTATTTCACTACCTAAGGTCAGATCTTATCACTTGTTCTTGATAAATTACTGATTAATGATCTAGTTTAGTTTAGAAGGACAAAATGTGTGTGTGTGTGTGTGTGCATGTATCAGTCACATCACATATCACTGTACAATAGTTTGCACCCCACAGTAATATGCTAGCTGTTGAGCAGAAATGCTGACACGTGAGTGGTCAAAGGGTAAAAATTTGGAGAAGGCACATTGGACACAACTGTTTCAGGAACAAGTTGGTGGGATAACAAATCACTAAAAATTGGTCTTTCCCCTTTTGCTTTAATTCTAGAGGGTGATATGGCCATTTTGATAGATGGGGAATTAGTCAACTTGGGTTAAGAATATAAACATCACCGAAAGTGAATAGCTTCTCTGACAAGTTATGGGACATGGAAGCTAGTTCACTAGTAGGGTGGCAACTGACAGTTTTCTCAGGGTTTTATACCGGGGAAGAGTCTGTTCCTTAAAGTAACAAGACTATGAAAGAGTATCTGACTACCTTGACTCGAATTTATTTTCATTAGGTTTTTTTCCCTATTGGAATACTGATCTCAATGGAATTTTAACTCTAGTATATTGTGAACTGAACCTTGAAGTCTTCAGTACGGGACAAAGGTCTAAAATATGTTTGAACAAATTGCCATTTTTGTTATGTCAAGAATCATTGCCTATCAACAATTTCATATGGTTCATCTTAAAACAAAACTTGGGGCCCACTGTTTCTGGTTAAAGAGAAATTTCTTCCATGCTGTATCAGATTCCACACAGCCCTTCCTTTCACATTTATTCTTACTATGTCCCATACGCCCACACATTATTGAAATCCAGCAGCACTGAATCCTGGTTTTATAACAGCTCATGGTTCATTTCTTGGTTTAGTTTCCCTATGTCTATAAATACACTATTCCTTGATTTAAAAAAAAATGCTGAAGCCAGTATTTACCAGAAAAGAATTCACTCTGTATTCAGGTTATGCAGTGCTTTTGGAAATGTTTAGCTATGGCATGTAGGTTAGCTAAAATCTTTCATCACCCAAGCCTTCTCCCTAGCCACATCTAAAATGACTAGACTGTTCCCTCTCCCAGAAGGTACATTCTTGAGTACAGGGCTACTTGGAAAAGCACTTGACAGCTGGCAGAGAAATTTCCCAGGTAAGTGTTAGTTTCAGTGCAGAGTCTGCAGATTATACCCAGCATCTATCAACAAGTGAAGGATTCGATTACCTAAAGTCTTCACTTGGCCACTTACTGACCTGGTTCGCCTGCCACTGTGCCAGCAAACGACACAAGAGATCTCGGAGCCCTTCAGCAAGGCCTGTTCCCTTGGAGCCAGGCACAATCCGTCTGGTTTCTGAGGCAGTTTCCACTCAGCTATTCTAGATGGGTTTGCCAGATGAGAGACCATGTAATATGAAATAAACACTAAGAATACCAGTCTGTGGTTTAGGATCTCTAGGGTGCAGAAAGAAGTAGGAAAATGAAATAGTTTAGAAGTTAAGCAGAATCCAGAGTCAAATAAAAACAGGCTAACACTAAAAAATGAACAAGTTAGGTGATTATTGTAACTGCTATGAAGGGAGCTAAATAATTTGAATGATTAGAGAAATTCAGGGATAGCATCAGAAGCTATCAATAGTCTTTACTTCAAGACCTCCAAATGATTCTGCCAGCATTTTCTTGAAAGTTGATTATTTCATCTTACTCCTCTCAATTCCACTAACCCTTACTTTTAGCCTCCCAAACAGTGGCCCCTTTACCTCCTCACTGGACTGACTCTTCCAAAGGCAGAGCTTCGCATCTCCTCTAATCCCTGTTTGAGTCGTTCTGTGTTCCCCAAAGCAGCTGTTCCCAATTGACTGCACTTGCTGCCTCCCTGACTCCCCTGACCTGCCCACAACCCTAGACGTGTCCCCCCAGTCTGGGCAGCATCCCCACATTCCACGCTCCAAAACTCATTTCACCTGGCATTAGGAATACATGTCTCGCTACTTAAGGTAACCCCTTTCATCTGACAGAGGGGATTCCATTCCAATTCTGAAATCGACCACCTCTTTCCACCTCCACCAACGTGTCCCGTTCTGCTTCAGAACTGCATTCATCTCCCCAATATGGGGATGGGGAAAATTTGACTTTGCTCAGTCGTTCACACGTCTTAGTGATTCACAAGATGTCCCCAGACCACCTCTCATCAGGTGGAAGTGACCATGAAAAGCAAAGTTTCTCTAAGTGTAATATGGAATCCTGGATAGGATTCTGAAACGGGAAAAGAATGGTAGTGGAAAATCTGGTGAAGTCCAAATGAAATCTGGAGTTAATAGTAATGAACCAATGTTGACTTATTAGTTTTGACAAATGTATTATATGTTAACATCAGGGAAAAATGGGTAAGGAAGGGGTATACAGGAACTCTGAATTATCTTTACAACATTTTGTACACCTAAAAAAACCTAAAAGAAAAAATCAGCAAGCAGCAGTTTCTTGGGCTCCAGACCTACCAAACCTCAATTCCCAGAGCTGAAGTCAGAATCTACATCTTTAATAGCCTCTAATGATGCTTACAGAGACTCAAATTTGAAAACCTAGTGTTTTAATTCTTTTTCCATTTTATGCCTGAACAGCTGTGTAAACCTTGCTTTACCTTAATGTTGCCTTAACCTGATTTAATCCTTTAGGTCCTCTGAACCCTAAGATCTGAGTATTATCATCCCCCTTTCACAGATGAGAAAACTGAAGCACTAAGAGGTTAAATAGTATGTCCAGGGTCACACAGCCCTTAAACGGTGGAGCAGAGTTTTAGTTATTAGTTTATGTGCAGCATGGGATGAGAAAGGTTGAAACCCGCTGGTACAGAGTACAGACAGGAGGTTGACAGATCAGAACGCGACCTCAGGCCATATCTCTGTTCTTACGTTTTCCTTCATTTCTTCACGTGCATCAAGAAACAATGACAGGATCAGCAGCCATTCTAGCTCCCAAATCTATGCACGTAACCATTCTATTGTCTCTTAATCATATTTCCATCCATGAGAAACTAAAGAGCTCTGTAATTAAATCACTTAAGGAAGCATTATTACCCAGACTATTCTGGGCCCACCTATTTCTCCAGCGTCTAAATCCCAACAGTCCCTTTGCTCCAACTTGTGACTTCGCCCTTTCCATTTGTGGGGAATAAGCACCGAGGAAGCATTGGGGAGAAAGATGTGCCCACTAGAGTTCTGTACAGGTTAAGGCCCAGATGCTCTTCCATCAGGATCCAGCTCAACAACTGAACTCTTTTCTCCTCCCAACTATGAACCAATCTAATCGTGTTCCCCACACTCACTTTGGCCTTGAATTATATACTCTCATATTGAATTTTTCTTATCTCCCCCAAACAACACTGTAACCTCCTAATTACCTATCTTCTCCCATACTTAAGCCTCAGAGCATTGCTGGAGAACAAACATATGAGGCATTCGCATGAAGTGGTGGTGGTGGTGGTGGGTAAATTGGTAGCTAAACTGCCTCTTGCTGAAGCAGCAGCCAGTAAGAAAATACTCTGACAACAGGATCTCAGGTTTACTAAGCATCTATCCGGATTATCAGGGAAGTGTCAACTCTAAATCAATTTATTTCCTCTTATCTGGGTTCCCTGACTTGTGTTTATGGCTTAAGACCAAGTTGTGGGTCTAACTGGTGAATAATGAATAGTTTGGGGAGTTCCTGCTCCCCAACCAGACACACAGAACAGCGCCAACATCTACTCCAAATAGGTTTAGGAGTAGAGCAGCGATTTTCAACCAGTGTGCAGCAAGAATTTTAAAAACATTCAACAACAGATTATTTAGTCAGGGGCACTGACCTCTTTTCTCTTACACTATCAAATTTAAAAAATGACAACAGCCAACACAACAATAGCCGTCTGATGTGAATGTCCTGTCTTGAACCATAAATAGGTCTTCTGAACCCCAAGATATGAGTTTTCACAGATGAGAAAACTGAAGTTTTAACAGGTCAAATAATATATTCAGGTTAAATTACATGTCTTATAATAGGTCATATATTTGAGTTGCATCTTTTTGGTCACATTGCATAATAGGTTACACCTGATTGGTTCATTCTTGGTACCAGAAATCCTCATACACAAGAATAGGCCCCTGATTTTTTAAAAAGTCACTTTGGAGCAAAAAGGTAATTTCTATTGTTGTTATTATTTTTGGTAAGTCAATCAGAATTATATCTACTTTTTGCCAGATCAGCAAAAAATATATGTTTTGGTGTGCTGCAGAATTTTAGTTATTAGTGTACGTGCAGCATGGGATGAGAAAGGTTGAAACCCGCTGGTGCAGAGTACAGACGAGGGTCGATAGAACAGAACGTGACCTCAGGCCATGTCTTCGTTCTTAGTTTTCCTTCATTTCTTCACGTGCATCAAGAAACAATGACAGGATCAGCAGGAGACACCTGTGACGTATATTCAAGTAAAACAAGTTTTCATTAGTTCTGTTTCTGGTGATTGGGATTTGCTTGTCTTATTAATAAAAACGTTACCCTTTACATTTTAAGTACACCTGAGAAATGTGATTACGATGTTGGAACCCACATATCTCCTCAGATACTCTTAGAAAGCAGTGTGAAAAAGCACAGAGAAAAAGACTTGTACAGCATCTTCTTTTCTTTTCTTTGTTTTTTAAAGATTTTATTTATTTATTTTTAGAGAGAGGGAAAGGGATGGAGAAAGAGAGGGAGAGAAACATTGATTGGTTGCCTCTCAAGTGCACCCCAACTGGGGACCAGGCCTGCAACCCAGGCACGTGCCCCAACCAGGAATCGAACCGGCGACCCTCTGCTTTTGCAGGACGACACCCCACCAACGGAGCCACACCAGTCAGGGCACATCTTATTTCTTTGCCATTGCTTTAATGTACTTTAAAATTTATCTACATTAGTTGGGAACAAAGAAACAAAAATAGACATTTCTTTGTTTTTTTTTTCATAAATAACTACTCTCCATATTTGATAAAAATCTCAAAGCATTATTTTACCTCCCACAAATATAATACATACAAATTTTTTCTGAAATAATAAGGTCAGCAAATTATTATGAGACTAACATAACCACATACACAGCTGTTCTACTGACTTCCAGGAACAAAAGAAAAACTTCTCAAGATGCTCTGGGTTTCCATTTGTTAGTGTTATGGATTCTGTATTATAATCATCTGCCAGTAATAATTTATAGATTCAAGTTGATTGTCTACAAATAAAATATTGCTGGCTCTGATTCATGAGTTCTGGGGATATCTTTGTGAAGACACTGTATGAGATAGGCACTATACATATATGGAAATCATAAAAAGTATTAAATGCCCTGGACTCGAACTACTGACTCGGTATGTGCCTCATTTGGCTCAGTAATAAATTCACCTGCACCAAACCCGTATCAAAAGTCACTAAATCTCTCATATATATAATATATATTATGTATATACAAACCCACATCACATACATACTATACAGACAGTTTGTAACAACATGAAGCAATATTGTCATAAAATGATGTGCCACAGACAGTATCCTGGCTGAAATCAACCCTGTAATTGTCATCAACCTGCTAAGCTTTGCCAGTTCTGAATCAGGTTACTTGGTGACGGACAACCTGCCCAGCCCTCGCCCTGCTTTAATGTACTTGGTAGCTTTTTCTTTCAGAACCACCCACCCCAACTCAGGCGCATTTTTCCCCCCAAGATCTCTCGACTGGTCTTTGGAGGCAAGAAAGGGCATGCAGAGGGAGCAGGCAAATCTCAGCCGCTGTACCTTCCACCTGCCTAGATTTGTGATGTGCTCTGTCCTGTTTGCCACATTCGGTGTTAGAAAGCAGTTATTCAAAGCTTTGTCCCTTCTACCCCCCTTGGTCTTTCTGTAGAGCACAAAAGTGAAAGAAGCCTCTTTAGCAGGGGTAGCAGTTCATTAAAATATACAACTACATTTCCTAGCTCTGGGGGTCCCATTCTGTACTTGACAGTGCAGGTCACGGATGCTGTTATTAAGGTTCGGTGTGGGATCCATGAGGTTTTCTCCTGGCAGCCGGTGTCAGGATTAGTGCAGCCCTGGCCCAGGAGGAAACAGCCTAATGAAGACCAACTTAGAAACAGTGCTGTCGGCACATTATTTAAGCTTGTACATGCGCACAATTACACACAACACACACAGGCCCGTCACTGGAAGTGGTCAGGTGAAAATATGACAAAGGTTTCCAAGGGTAAACCAATAAGGCACCAAGAAAAATAATTTTCAGCCAATTTAGACAACTTCAAAATGTGAGGAGGGAAATAATATAAATCAAAAGCACTTCCTAAGGTCATGTCAACTGATTCACGGAGAGGTCTCACTAGTTCCTTCAGACAACCTTCTGAAATCTTCACTCCTAATCTATGAAGTAAGGCATTACTTAAAATGGAACTGTGGAAGGAACAGCCCCGGTGCTGCACACTGAGGCCAGACGGAGCCCCAAATCCCGTCCAACCTCATCAAGCTGGCTGCGAAGAAACTGCTAACCCACCCCACAGCCTCCCCCTTCATAACTGTTTTCATGAGTACGGACTGTCTAATAAGAAATGCAAACCCAGGGGAGGGGAATAGTATGTGGGATGAAAATGGGGGGTGACCAGCAATAGCTGTGGCCTCTCTCCCCGGTGAAGGGGGTGGGGTGGTGGCTATTAGTGAGACTTCAGGGAAGCAGGTGGGCTTTATCCTGGAGGGAACAGGAGGGTGGAAACTGGAGACTGCAAACAAAGAGGCGGCTCTCAAAGTAAACCCCCGAAAGCAGTACCTATAGTGCCTTTCCTTGGCCTAGTGTCCTTTGTGTTAACTGTCTTATTTTTTAAAGTAAATTGGTTGTTCTTTTTAAGGTTTGGCATGTGGCCAAAATGAAAAAAAAAAAAGTTTTTTAAATGAAGAATTATTTTCACCCACTCATCCCACAACTTTTAGATACACTATGCACCATTTCCAGATTCCTGCACAAAGAAAAAGACAGCAGGGCGGGGGTGGGGGGACGGTGCAGAGTGGGCACCACTGAAGGCAGCAGAAGCCGTGTTCTATCTGGGAAGATACACTAGAGGAGGGAAGAGGCCAAGGTGAGCAGAAAAGGTCCCCATTTGAAAAATAGGAGAGGGAGCAGCTCTCAGACAGGGGAACTATATCAAGGTTCAAAGACACTTCTGAGTAAATAGTGAAATAAGATGTGCAAGAAGTTTTCTATGCTGTGTGTACTAGGTTTTGTCAAATCCAATGAAATTTCCATTGATTCAGAGGATGAGTGTGTAAGAGCAGTATGTTTTTATCACTGAACAGCTTTTGAGACTCCTTAAAACGATAATGCCAGGCTCCCCACTCTCACCCTGTAAAATATTTAAATTCACTATGGGAACTATGTATTCATTGGTTTCCTTAATATACATGAAGTAAAAATTAAACTGGGCTTAAATTTTACTTTTCCAGCTTTGGTATAAATGAAGCACAAATTCCCTAGACTTGTTTCCTTAGGGAGGCATTCTCAAATTTTAATTGCTTTTGCCATTTTAGCTTCCTAAATCTAGTCTCCGCTTAACCCTGGTCCTCGGTCTCTTGCTGGCCAATGCACTGCCACCCCGTTCCTCAGCCCTGGCCTAGCACTCTTCATGAATGAACGGTTAAACAGATTAGGAGAGCAAACAGGATTTTCTAATAGTAAAGAAACGTGTGTATGTGTGTGCACATATCAATACATAGGCTTTCTCAGGAAAAAGGGGGAGAAAAATATACTGAGGTGGGGGTGGGGAAAACATTTTAAAAACTAATGCAAGTGTATTATGGGTCTCATTTGTTTTCAGAGGTGCAGAGAGCAATGTCTTGCCGCTTTTGGAATACATATCTGGCTATACTCTAGTCCAAAGTCCAGGGACACTTATTTTCTCTCACTGCTGCCAATGTTTGTTCACAGGTAGCCAGCTTCCCTCCCCCAGTTCAAGCACCTCATTCAAGGGTGGGTGTGGTTTCTAATCACAGCTCTCCAGGAGGAGGAGTAAGAAAAGCAAGAAAGACTGTTTAACATGATAAAGGAGGTGGGGTGCTGGTGGAGCAGGTAAACGTTGGGAATTGACTTAATTAATAGAGCTATACCCATTTCAGTCCTTAAATCTACAAAGCAGCCCCCTTTAGCGATTATCGCTAAGTAGTTCCAGAAGAAGGGAGTGGGTTTACTTTTACCAAAAATTACAACACAGGTTATTCTGTAAAAAACTTGGGATCACTGAAGCCTGTGAAGAACCACCCACTCCTCTGGCACAGAGCTGACATCGCAGCAATCTAGAATTCAGGCTCAACCAATGCCCATCCCTTAGGTCTTCACTGCTCCAAATATTTATACCTGGCACCATACTGCTACCTCTAACTTATTCCAAATGCTGGCACTGTTGAGAATGAGAATGGTTACAAGTTCTACAGAAAAGAAACCGAAGCTCACTAAACAAAGCTAGCTTGGACCCCAAATCCCTAAACACTCCCTAACCTTGTCACTTCGGGGAGGCCCTAACCACATTACACTGTCCTTGGGATGACCCGGAGTTTCATAAGCAGGGACAAGCAGCTCACCTTAAAAGATCTTGGACACTTTAAGCAGTGGAAGGAGAAAACAAGCTGAGAAAGAACGCTGGTAAACTTCTCAGTCGCAATAACCCAAACTTTCACTGTTCACATTTTTCTTTAACAGACACAAATATAGGAAATATATTTTTCCAATTCAGACCATACAGTTCAAAGAAACCTGAACTAAGTGGAACTTCATTATAATGCCAACCTTAGGATTGTAAAGCCCCCAAAGCAAAAGTAAATGTTGTTGCTAAAAATGCAACAAAGTTAAAAATTAAGAAAAATACATATAAATTAGAAATAGGGTTCCCTTAAAGAACGCAGTAAGAAACGCAAATAGAATACACGTGAGCTGAGCCCCTCTGAGAAGTCCTGGGACAGCTACACCCTTGAAAGGGCCCTTTCCCCTCTCTCCAACTTGCCCCAGGAGGGGGCATCAGCACCAGGGAAGTAAACGGAAGTGACCTTGGCAAAGCGACCAAACAAAACAACCCCCCTCCCGCACTCCAGGGCTGAGGCCTCCTATACATGCGACAGGGACACCTGCTTGTGGTAGGCAGCTGCGGCGGGGCCTGGTGGCCCGGTCCTGCCTGTGAGCGCTGCGCTTGCCTCGGCATAGTCCCGGGCAGCCGTGGTGCCACCACTCTTGTGGCCCCGTCGCCGGCGGCAGCAGCAGCGACTGGTGAATCGCCGCCATGACTCCACAGTCTTGCTGGACCAAATCCAGACGCCAGACGTGATGCCCACCACGAGGCACATGAAGTACTTGAGCATGAGCACCCAGTACTCTGGCTTGGCTCGTGGCTGGCCGGCGTCCTGCCCTGGGCACGCGCAGGTGAGCGCAGCCTCCCAACTCTCGCGATAGTGCTGTTCATACAGGTAGCAGGCCACCACAATGCTGGCGGGCACTGTGTAAAGCAGCGTGAAGATGCCGATTCGGATCATGAGCTTCTCCAGCTTGTCTGTCTTGGTGCCGCCCTGCTTGATGACACTACGGATGCGGAAGAGTGACACGAAGCCTGCCAGGAGGAAGAGTGTGCCCACCAGCAAGTAGAGCACCAGAGGGCCCAGCACGAAGCCACGCAGTGAGTTCAGGTTCTGGTTGCCCACGTAGCAGATGCCAGCCACTGGATCCCCATCCACAGAACTCAGCGCCAGCGCGGTGATGGACTTGACACTGGGGATGAGCCATGCGGCCAGGTGGAAGTACTGCGCATAGCCAGCAATGGCCTCATTGCCCCACTTCATGCCAGCCGCCAGGAACCAGGTGAGTGACAGGATGACCCACCAGATGGAGCTGGCCATGCCGAAGAAGTAGACCAGCAGGAAGACCACAGTGCACAGTGCAGGGCCTGTCGTCTCGTAGTGAATGTGGCTGTGCTCACGGCTGCAGGCGACACTAGCATGGCCCACGACCAGGCGCACCAGGAAGCCCAAAGACACGCACAAGTAGCAAGCTGACAGGAAGATGATGGGGCGTTCGGGGTAGCGGAAGCGTTCCATGTCTATCAGGAAGGTGGCGACCGTGGTGGAGGTAGAGATGAAGCACAGCACAGACCACAGGCCGATCCAGAAGGTGGCGAACGTGCGCTCGTCAGGGCTGAAGGAGGGCTGGTAGCAGGGAACTGCGCAGTTGGGTACCTGGCCCGTCCTCACCTTGTTGTAGAGCGGGTGTGACTCTTTCAAGATTGGCACAAAGGGCTCACGGCACTTGCACACCGATTGGCCCCCAGCGGTGCACTCCCCTCCAGAGGATGGGGCCCCTGGCGGGCCTGGGTGGGTGGGCTTGGCGGGGAAGAGCCTAGGGGGCACCGTGGTGGCCTCGCTGCGGTTGTAATCCATGCACAGGACCTCGGCGTCGCGCCCCAGCACGGGTAGGCGGTCGCAGCTCATGCGCTCCGGCCAGGCGAAGCCGTACTGGCGCATAAGTGGCGAACAGCCAGCTTTGGCGCGCTCGCACACAGAGCGGCAGGGTGGCAGGGGCTTGTGATAGTCCGGCAGGCAGATGGGCGTGTACATGGAGCACAGGAAGAAGAGCAGGTCCGGAGAGCAGTGGATCTCCACCAGCGGCCAGAACTGGTGCACCTCCAGGCCCGCTTCGTCCTGCGTGTCGTGGTTGAACTGGTTGGGCATGTGCGTCAGGTTGTAGCCTATGCCGCGGCACATGGGTACCGTGATTTCCTGGCACACAGGGGCCTTGGAGGCGGCCACCGCCCGGCCTGCAAGCTGGGCCAGGAGGAGCAGCAGCAACGAGGGCGGCGCACACGGGTCAGGCCGAGCCATAGCCCCCTCCCTCCCCTTGCCTCGCACAGCCCGCGCGGGCCGAAGCAGGCAGGGGAAACCGGGCCGGAGCTTCCCTCTCCACCGACTTGTTTGTGGCGCCGGGGCTGGCAACCTGTTGGTTCGTTTTCTCTTCAAGAAATCCGGCCCAAGATAAACTGTTTTGGGAAGGCGCTGCCTCCCTCCGCGCTTAGTTCTTCACCGGATAGGATTGGGGAGGGGCAGTTAGGGCTCCGATTCCAAGGAAAGTACTCTTTAAAAAAAGAAGAAAAATTGCAACCACTCCCAATTAGAGGGGAGTCAACGGCTAAGTCGCTGCAAGCGGTCGCCAAATCTCTAGCTTCAACTCTCCCTTCCTTCCCCTCCACCTCCTGAAATCGAACTGTTGACTCCCCGCCCCACCCCGCCTCCCTCTCCACTGGGCCCTCCAGGCTGGACCCCAGGGTCGGAGCGTTCAGCCTCCCTCTAGCAAAGTGCAGAAGGCCAGGGAGAAAGGGAAAAATGGGAAGGCGCGGGCTCTCACCTTCGCTGATCCGGAGAGAAGCAGATATTCCGCAGCCAGCCTGGGTCCTCCGTCCCTGGGACACTCCGCTCAAAAACGCGACTCAGAGCCAAGCTGGCACCTGGAAAGTTTGGTGATAGGCTGGGTATCCGAGGAGGCGGCACATGGCAGCAGCAGGTGGGGGCGTCTCAGAGAGGGGGTCGCCCCCCGAACGCGATCTCCGCAGGCCGGTCACTCGCCCTCTCCTCCTCCGGGGCCCCCCGCATGATCCGGGTGGGGCAGGGCAGGGGCAGGCCGTGCGTTCCACCAGAGTCCCGAAGCCGCACGAAGGGCGAACGCCCCTGCAGCACCTAGGCGAAAGGAAGGCGGTGTGTGGCGGCTGGGGCACTCCGCCGCCTCACAGCACCGCGAGCAGCCTGCACTGGCCCTGCCGGGACTGCTTGGTGCGCGCCCGCCGCCGCGTCCCGCCCGCCGCTCGCCTCCTCCCCTGCAGGGGGCTCCTCGCTCCAGCCGACTCCTGGGGGCGGTGGCGGCGCTCCTGGGACGCGCCGGACTCGGCTCCTCCCCCGCGCACTCGCACCCTTTCTCCCACCTCCGGCTGGCACTGAACGGCGGCGGAGGCGGCAGAGGCGGCGACAGCGGGGAAGGAGTCACGGCCGCAGGCTGACTAGCCTCTCCCGCTCCGCCCGGTCACCTGCTTCTACTGCCCGCCGGGAGGCCCCGCCCCAGCCCCGCCCCCTCGAGCTAGGGCTCGGTTGGTGGGCTGCTCCGCCACGCTCTCCGCGCGTCCCCGCCCACTGCCCCGCGAGCTTGTCCTCCCTTCTGGGCGCCCTCCGGCCCCGCCCTGAGCGGGCAGCAGAGCCGCGCCGCCCAATCGCGGGCCCGGACGCGACAGGGGCGGGACGAATGCTAATCACGCCTTCTTGAGACCCGGGGCGGGAAACCCTTGCTAGAAGTCTTAAGGAGTTCTCTGCTGGCGCCCACGGGTGCAGGGCTCACTTTCCTGTAATGTTCTAGCTTCTGAACCTTTGCTCCCAGGGCCCCCTACCAGCTCTCCTCTCTTCAGCTAAGCATTCTTACAGAATCCAGAGCTCGTGTAAAAGAACTGCTCAAAGAATCATTCTTTACCGTGGCACCTGTCCCCTCTCCGGGCAGTCCTCAAACCAGGTGAGCTCACGTCGAGAGAAGAGCGAATGCCTACTGAGCCGCACTGTGTGCCGGACAGTGCGTTAATCGTTTACATCTTAATGCAAATCTCAGATCCTTGCAACAAATTTTATGAGGCAAGTACACCTTACAGGTGAAGAAACAGAGATTTAGAAACTAATCCAAGGTATTCGAGCTAAGGATAGTTTCCCCCGAGAAAACCGCAAGCTAGGCCATCTTGTTCCCCGCGGCATTCCAAGGGCTTGACAGATAGTAGGCGCTCAGATGGCAAACCCAGAATTGGAAGCCAGGTAGTTGGGCCGTGGCATGCACAATTTAAACCATTCCCTCTATGTACAATAGGTATCTCCAAGGCTTCAACCTTTACTTTTGCGTTTTGTAACAAAATCTTAGGCTTGTGACAAGAAAGTGATTTTTTTTTCTGTCTTTGCAAGACTCGAGAGATGTTAATCCTTTAAAATCCCAGGCTGTTCCCCGCAGAGAGTAGCAATGCTGGCTCTGGGCTCTGTAATGGGCAGGGCGCTGGGCCCCCTGGGGACTGCGGGCTGCTTAGCTGCGCACCCGCTAGCAGCCGGAGGCTGGGGCGGGCGCACGGAGCAGACGCCGCCCGCGGGAAGACCTGCTGGGCGCCCCGACTGCGGGGACACACAGTGGCGCTCTCCAAATGGGTTTTTATGCTGAAAGTTTTAAATGTCCTAAAAATGCCTCTTTTTCTACGTGTTCTAATTAGGTTGGAAGACTGAGGTGTTTAGCATACTTGAAATTCATTCACACGCTTACAAAGAGGGTCTGAATTGTTTCCCACTCCCCCACCTCTTCCTTCTGGAAAGGAGGTGAAAAAAAGACTGGAGGGCCAGGGAACTTGAAGGACTCAGGACTGGACTAAAGGAGCGAGATAGGCCGCAGTTATTGTTCTTCTGTCCTGGATTCCATTTTGTACAGATTGAGAGACTAAATGGCAGAATAACCCTCTCCCTCAACAAGGCTCTGTGGGAAATAATAAAGAATATGTGTATTAATCGCAGCCTCAGAATTTAAAAGGACTAAATGTCAATAGCTTCACAAACATCAAAACTATTAATAAATATGTTTTACATGTACATTACATCTTTCATTCCTTGGAACTCTACAGGTGTTCATATTTATCTCTTTTGTTTTTTGGAAATACTTGGCACTCTGGGTGGGCAAACTTCCCAGGGCTGAAACGTTGTGGGAGCTGAGAAGCCAGGGAGTAGCAGTCAGAAAGGAAGGAAAACCCTCAGCGGAAAGTATGTGTAGACGGCGAACATGCCAGGGGAGGGCTGTCTCATTCTGTGCCCTTTATGCGACGTGTGTATTATTGGGGATAGACAAGTGTTAGCTAATAATAAAAATTATTTGAGGTTGGAGAATGTTAATCACTCCTCCTGGAATTTAGCCAGAATACTTGTGTTATTTCACGTGGTTCTAACTCAAACGATGTTATCTACTGGTTTGTAAACCTCTCTCTGCTCAATCAATAGAGAAAGTTTTCCTTTGCTTGGAGACCTCTAATAATAGTAGTAATAACAGCAGAAACTTTGCCTAAACAGACTTATTTTGCATTGTAAAGTTTTTTGTATCATTTGAATTTTTGTTTTATTAAAAACATAGGTTGTTTCAACTTAAAGGCAGTTTAAAATATGATGACTGTTTAACATGTAAGTATTAGACAGGATGCTAAATAATTCATTTATGTTAGTTCATTTAATCTTCACAACAATTAAATAAAACTGGCACCATAATGACTTGCTTGAAGTTACTTTTTTAGTCATTGGAAAAGATAGAAATCAATATTTTCTCCTGAGTCATAATTTATTACTCAACAAACTAGAAACACTAAATTATGATTTTTAAATCCACACCCTCGGATATGTTTATTGATTTTAGAGAGGAAAGGGGAGAGAGGGAGAAAGAAAGGAAGCAAAAGAAGAGAGAGAAAGAGAGAGAGAGAAAGAAACATCAGTGTGAGAGAGAAACATCCATTGGTTGGCTCGTGTATGTGTCCCAACTGGGGGTCCAACCCACAACCTATGTAAGTGCCCTGACTGGGAATCAAACCCACGACCTTTTGGTGTATAGGACAACATTCCAACCAACTGAGCCACCTGACCAGGGCTAAATTATTTTTAAGATGCATTTTTAAGGACCTGGAATATTGCCAAATATCCTAGTCTATTAATTTACTCAGCCTGCCTCCATCCATCCATCCATCCATCCAATAAACACCAATTTCTGAGTTGAAGGCACTACTACTATATTAAACATGTTTCTACAAAGCCAAATTCATGAAATTCAACTTAAATTATTGTCAAAGGTGTGTTTATTAATTCATGAAAATACAGATCATGATGCTAACTAACCATCCCATCTACTAAGTGTGTGGCATTTGAAACAGTGCTTTGGGAGTCTGTCACCAGGGAATAGTTACTGCATTTTTAATCTTACTAGACTTGTGCTGATTATACATGTACTATTCTATTGAGACACTTGAGAGTTCAGTGATATAGGAATGAATAGATCCTTCCTTCCTTCCTTCCTTCCTTCCTTCCTTCCTTCCTTCCTTCCTTCCTTTTTAATCCTCACCTGAGGAAAACCTATTCCAGAGAGAGAAGAAGAGAGATATAGACAGACAGACAGACAGATATTGATTCCATTAGTCCACCTTCCATATGTGCCCTGACTGAGCCACACCGGTCAGGGCTAGACAGTTGTCTTTGTGTACTCTTCAATATCTTGATAGTCAAGCCTAGAATGGTCTTGGTTAGACGCCTTCAATAAATGGGTGAATGCATGACCGACTGAGATTAATGTTTTAAACTTTAGCAGCTGGCATTGAATCCTTGAGTACAGCTTACCTTCTAAGCTGCATCTGAAGTTGACTGTTAAGTCATGCTGCCCTGTTAAGAGCAGCATGAGTCCAAACCTTGGCTCTGCCTTTATTAGCTGTGCCACATTGGACAAGGCACCTAATAGCTCCAGGTCCTCTTTCCTCATGTGTAGAGTTACAAATAGTTATTTACCTCATGGAGTTGTGAGAAGTAAATGAATTCTTTGTTAAAGGGCTTAGAGCCATGTCCAGAACCTGGTGAGTTTATACAGGTCTTAGTTGTTGTTGTTGTTATTATTATATTAATTTCTACTATGGTTATTCTATTATTCTGTTTTCCCAATCTTGTATATTTCCTCTTGTATATTATTACTTTAATAAGGAAAAAAGTAGTTACATGTTTTAGATGTAAACTTTGTGTCTGAGCACACTCCCAGCTGTCACTAGCTATCTCTAGCATTTAGATAGCAGCTAAATTCGATGCCAAAGCAGGGATCATTTCACTTGTCCTTGATCAAAGTGCTCACACCTGACATCAGCAGCCAGCTGATAGCATGCACAGGGCTGGCACAGGACAGACGCTCATGAGCCAACATGAATGCCTCACAGGTATTTTCAGACTAGCTCCGTCCACGTCCTAGAGCAGCTCTGGATGGTCCTCATCAGATCAGACACCTCTAGACAAAAAACCAAGACACTAATCAGAGGATTAACACGCTGAGCCATTTGCCCAGGTTTGTAATGAGAATGGAATAATTCAACTATAATCTTTAGTCTTCTCCCCTCCCCCACTGTGGTGGAGACTATGGAAAGTAGAAGCTTTTTTCTTTTCCCCCAGAGGTAATGGAAGTACTCATCTTTCCCACACAGAGCAGTGGCTCTCAGCTGCACATTACAGTCACCTGGGGGACTTGAAGGAACACTGGTGCTTGGAACTTAACTAAATCAGAACCTGTAGTTTAGGGCCCCAGCCATTGTTTTTTGGTTTCATTTGTTAGTTTGTTTTTGGTGCTGTTTTGGTTTTAGCTCTCCAGGTGATTCTGATTTTCAGTGAGTATTGAGAACCTCTCACACAGATGGTTTTGTTATTTCCCCAGTATGGCCCCAAACTTGGGCCTGGCTGGACCTTCCGCAAAAAGGGTTAATC